AATTTATTTTCCATCATAAATCGCGTCAAAACAGTAAATATCCACTGTCAGCCCTCTACCGATAATAAATTTGGAGCGGTTCGGAAGGGAAGCTATACTGAGCTGATGGGCAACGCAATAGACGCAGAGATGGAGTGCGACATTCACGGGTGTGGCTCAGCGACTGCAAAGGAACTGAAACCACATGTGGTGATACCGGACTGTCTTCTGATCTCGGAACCGGGGGGTGAAGGAGACTAAAAGCCAAAATTTCGTCGGGCTGTAAGGCAAGACCAAAATATACTCGAAAGTCAACATTACCGAGCGTCTAGGAGAAAAGGCACAGTGACTTTTCTCCTCTTGTACACCTTCTCAACGCATGGAGGGACGCAGCATCCTTGTATCTTGATATTGGGCAAAAAGTCTGATCAGCGTGGCGAAAACAATGTTTATGAAAGAGTGTGCTTCGCAGGAGGATCCCTCTATCCGGTACGGAAACACTGGCATATTATTGGAACGGACTTGAGCAGAAGTGGAATGAGTGGAAGAAGGGGTTTGAGGGTGCTGAGATGAGGACTTTGAGAATCGAATGAATGGACGGAGATGGAAGAATGATTTTCTTGTTATTACAAGCTCTAGACTATACAAATAACTACGTCATTACCATCAGTTTAGCAGCAACACAATGTTTTGGTGTAGGTTGGGGATCAAAGTGGTTAAACCTTGAGTAGGGATAATACCTAAGGATAGATGTATAGATGCCTATTTATACTGGTAAATTAGGAGATTAAGGCCTTTAAATTCACAATTCGAATGGAAGCAGGTCACCGGTAGAATGCAAATCAAACTAGCAGTATGTTAATTCGAAAGGTGGCAGTTAGTATAAGGAAAGCTAGTCCGCATCAGTCAGGACCTAAAAATAATTCAAGACCAACTATTTTTCGATCCCAGTAATAATGCTCCAAGTCGCCAGAACATACTCAATTTTTAGTTAGTATCCCAGGACAAACATCCCTGCATAGATATGCAACAGAATCCTCATCATCCTCAAGAGGTCATGCAATTGGCGAGTGATCTATGATAGGGATGCTTAGCTTGGACATGACTAAATTTCCAAGCGCCAACTTTAGCGCCCCATCCCAATCTAACCAAAAGAATTATAGTGACAAACATATCCTTGCCCAGAGATGCAACAGAAATTCGCAGTACGTATCGTGCCAGTGATTATTAGGCGAAGCTGGAGCTACCAGTGCATATGATGAGAGCTAAGGTAGGTAATCAATCTCCAAATGAGCTAACGGTTGGTGTTTCTTTTAGCTTCAGGACTACCGGAGCTAGGGAGGTGATCATAGAATGCTAATAAAAGTATCTAACAAATCAAAAATACCTATCCCTGTATAGATATGCAACAGAATTGCCATTATCAAGGATATCTAGCGGGAGCTGAATATTTAGGGTTAGGTAGTTCCAAGTTGCGAGATGGTACTAGAGTTCTAGTAGTGAGAGATATCCCTGTACAGATGTGCAACAGAAAATTATCATAGAGACCTATGAACTACGGTAGACTAGACGCTTGCTGGAATCGGGAAGATTTGTGAGCACTAACTTCATGATAGAGTGCACCATCCGTATGCGTAATATCGTGGTATAAGAGCTTTACATAGGTAAGCTGTATACGGGGTATATTCTGGAAAAGAAAGGGACCGGCTCAAAGGGGCTTTTTATATCTTCTGAGGGTTAGGTAATCAACCTCCTCTGAAGATCTTTGTAGTCTAGTAGTATATCTTCATCTCCACGAGCAGAAATTTCTTAATCATTCAGTCCACTCAACATCCCATTTCCATGTAATGTCTTCTGGAGAAAGATGAAAGCATAGAGAGCTAGACATGATATTCATCTGCCTGTGGTTAGAGGAAGATGTTTTCAATATTCATTACAATGTAACAAATGTGATGGAAAGGATGGATAATATCAATTTCATGGAGGACTGTAAGGAAGATACCATTTCATCATATATATCTTATAGCTTTGCTGAGCTATATTCCCAAGCTAGATTAGTCTGGGTGAGCAAATTAGTGTCCAGGACTAAGCCCCTTCATCACTGGCGAATTTCCCATAAGACGAATACTATGTTCCCAAACTTGCCGAGCCTATGTGAAAGGACTAATGACGAAATTCTACTAAGAGAATATCCCTGTACAGATGTGCAACAGAGCATGTAGAAAGAGCCTAAGCAAAGGCTTGCGGGAAGGGTATGAGGTAGTGGGTAGCCGGCTTCATCCGAAAAATACCGTGGACTTCTCTAGATTCTTCAGTGGAAAGACTACCCGGGGTCCCCATACATATTAAAAATAAAGTTTCTTGTATAGAGATGCAACAAATCACTCCAATCAAGGTAGAAAATACGAAGAGAACTCAGATTGATGATGAAGAAAGCTGTCTGTCGGCTTGCTAAATTCGGCAAAGAATCTAACCTCATCATCTTTCCATATGTTCAGAGACACAACGAACATTATTCAAGGACAAACAGATGAACGCTTGTGCATTTGAAAGTAATGACGCGGCAAAGTGATGAACTGGAAATTCGGGTGCCTCGCGCTTTGACTGGTCCTTCATACTTGAGAGACATATCATCTATATATATCCCTGTGCAGATATGCAACAGAATCATTTGAATTCCAAAGTATAATGGAGTTCTGTGTGTGGGGGAGTTGAAACCTATTAGTAGGTAGCTCGATGCTAGTTTAACGGTAGCTTGATGCTAGTTTAACGTTAGCTTGACGGTAAGTTGATGCTAGCTTGATGCTAGCTTCATCCTAACTTCATATTAACTTGATAGCTTGATGCTAGCTTGTCATCCGCTTGCCAAACCCCATGCATAAAACTTGACAACTAGTCCATAGAGATTCGATGCAGATCCCTTGTACATATATGCAATCAAGATTCAACTCCGACTGGAGAAATGGTTGAAGATAAGATTGGCTAGTAACCCGATTAAATGGTTAGTTCAGCGCTGTTAAGCTTTAATATGGCAAGGACGATCAAGGGGCTATAGAGCCACACGATCGTGGCTTTGGAAATGAATCAACCCTTCCCCACCCACAACTAGAACGGTAGAGCCCCATCAGCGAAGAACTCGAACCTTCTCATCTAGGTCAGACCACCCTTTAGATGTATCGAAGATATCTGGATCCCTGTGCAGATAAGCAACAAATAAACTCAACACAATAGGAGGTAAGAGCTTGTGAAAAAAAAGGTTAATCTGTGAAATTACTCAGCAGAAAGTCCAAGGGGTCAGCATCCTTATTTCCTGCGCATTCTAATTAATGAAACCGACTTGGAGTTGATTGAGCTATTCGCATTTGTAACCACTTGAGATATGCAACAATTGCTTCATATTTGAGCCCAAGTATAAATTGCGACTAGTGAATCTTTCGTAGATCACCAGCATTGTCCAACTTCTTTTAAATTGACTCTAGGAACACTCTTTTTGAATCAACTTATGGTTGGAGGAATCGGTATCTTTCTGCATCTATCAGCCATATATTCTCCCATGAGTTGTAAAACAACATTGGAACCTATAATCTCAAACCTTCAGATGTGTATTTGAAAATGCTTATCTTGAGAATAGACATTGGAATTCTATCATCCTATTTTCGCTCTAAATTGATTCTTTGGTTGCATCGAAATCTACGTCAATTTCCTGAAACCTCTCGATGAATGCTCTTGAAACTTCAGTTGTGCTGCTGTCAACCTCGCATTGGATATTCTGTTTAGATGTTTTAAGTACCTAGGTATTTTGTGATTGTTGTATTGAGTAATGGTTTTTATAGATCGGATGAGTATTAGAATATCAATCTTAGAGATGAAAACCTGAATTGTTGTTGGTTATCGTTCTGACTCCTGTCCTATCCCATCCCACTTCACCACTGTCTCATCCGCTCAGTACTCACTAAGATTGTATTGGTTGCCCGTCTCTAATACCCCTTTCTCTTTATCATTGGAGAAAGATACACCGCAAGATCTACACGTGGTGAGGTTCTCAGAAAACACGCCATACATATATGGGGGAAAGATCACTCTTATCATCCGATATTCTGACCATTTCGGATAGTTTAATCGGATAATAAGTCTCAATGATGAGCGTGGAGTGAAACAAGGCGAACTAAGAATCCGAGCAGATTCGTAGAAAATTGGAAAGCTAGGATCAGTATTCCGTGGGTGAGGTCACCAACCAAAAGGGCCATCAAGGCTCCAATGCTTTCGTAACATGTTTTATGTATGCGCTTCCATTACTCCAGAGACCCATCGAAATACCAACTAGGCATTGTGAATCTACTGAATTGGTCGGTTCTCACTCGTCGCCACTATGAAGATTTGCTGGTTGTTCTCGCGCCAGGTATCATTTGCAGTGGTTGCTAAGAATGAAGACTTTAAGGGTTTAAACTCAGCGAGTATCGCCTCCTCTTTCCACAAGTCCGTCCCAACTCAAAATATAATGTAATATATTACCCCTCCAATTTTTAACTTGCATCACCAGTTTACAGATGCCTTCTTTCCTTCCCATTGCCGTACTCGTATTTGTGAGCCTCATTTCTTCTATTCACACTTGCGAAAAGGGCGAAACATGGATGACACGCTCTGGCTCTATCTCATCATACTTGATCACCGATTTCTATACGGCGTGTCCCAACTCTTATTTGTACCGCCGTTTAGTGAGAATCCATCTTGAAAGGGTGAAAGCACTGGTCTAATCAAATAACCAGGATCAGTTTTTGTGTAGATATTGATTGCAGGTGGTTAAGCACTCCAGGGCTGTGACGTTTGTTGCTTGCTTTTCTATGGACTCAAAGGATAGAGAAATAGCTTTAAGGTAGGTAGGTAGGTCAATATCGTCTAAGGCCACCCCTTACGTAATCGCATAATTTACCAAAAGAAGATTTAAAAAGAGAGCAAGAAAACACCACTCAAGTAATGCTTCTAAATTAGCAAAAGAAGTGCAAAAGCCTTCATGATATTTACGAGCGACAAGGGACTCGAACCCTCAACCTTAGACTGAAAACATCCTGATAATAGGAGGTCCACACGCTACCATTGCGCCAATCACCCAATTATATTAATTCAAAATTTTCAAGCGATATATAACGCTCCAAACTTATTTTGACGATGTCTCTACAATCACGTGCATAGATTGGCGTAGCATGTGAAATACAAAAAAGTTATTGGCCAATCTAATGCCCCACGTTGATAGTCCAGACTATAGTATTGGGTCTTATTATTCTTGCATCAGTAGGTACTCACTCGAGGTATCAAAGATTTATTATATTGTGCCTAGGAGGTTACATTGAGGTTACCTAGTATCTTTTTATATTTATTTAAACATATCTATATATATCAATATTTCTTCTTCTTCTCATCATTCTAATCTACTACTTTCCTATCACTCACTCAACGAAGAATTACAACGGCTATCGGATTTTTGGGTATCATTACATTCTATGCATCATCATTTTCGAATTTTGAGTACCGACATACCACAAACTAAATAGACTTCTTATCCTCATTTTTGAAACACACACATACTCGATATACCTACAAACACATCATGGCATTCTCAATGCACAGTCACTCTGGACAATTCTGTCCAGGTCATGCAAAAGATACCCTCGAACAAGTTATCCAAACCGCCATATCCCGAGGCATGCAAACTTTTGCATTAACAGAACATATGCCCCGAAACTCCAACTCGGATTTATATCCCGAAGAAGTACTATACCACCCATCCCCATCACATCACATCAATTCACCCCCAAAATCTAACATGACAAACCCAGGTAGAAGCCGGGGATGACATCTCCATTTTAATACCAAGACATGAAGCTTACCTTATCGAAGCGATCCGTCTTCGCGAGAAATACAAGAATGAACTTAAAATTCTCATAGGGTTTGAAGGAGAATGGATTCGTTCGGATTATGGTCCTTTGATTAAGGATCTGGCTTCGAACCCAACGATTGATTTTTTCATCGGATCAATACATCACGTGAACGAGGTACCGATTGATTATGATGCTGCATTTTATGCCAACGCTGTTGAGAAATCCGGGGGTTCGGAGGAGAAATTGTATGAGGATTATTATGAGCAGCAGTATGAGATGTTACAGACGTTGAAACCGAAGGTTGTGGGACATTTTGATTTGATCAGGTTGTTGAGTGAGAAGCCGGATCGGGATTTGAGTGAGTGGAAAGGGGTTTGGGAGAAGGTTTTGAGAAATTTGTTGGAGGTGGTGAAGTATGGGGGTTTGTTGGAAATTAATACTAGTGCGCTGAGGAAGGGATTGAAGGAACCATATCCGGGAAGACAGATTTGCGAGGTATGTATCTCTTATGAAGAAGGGAACGAGGGGATACTGACGGAAGAATAGGTGTATATACGATTGGGTGGAAAATTCACAATGTCTGATGATAGCCATGGTATTGGACATGTGGGCACGAATTTTGTTAAAGCGATAGAGTATTTGGAGTCTCTCGAGGTTACGGAACTCTATACGTTTGAGCGGGATATGACGGCGGATTCGAATGAGGCTGCAAAAGCCTTGAGCTTGAAGAGTGTACCTTTGTCAAGTGTAAAGGAGACTTTCATCCCGGGATGAATCACAATTTTCGATGTGTAAATTTATATTACTCACCAGTATTATGACGACGACCACACGTTTAGATATGCTATTCAGGATATGTGTTATATATATTGCTTATATGAACTGGATATCTAAGGTATTAGAAATATCAAACGGAAAGAATATGGCAAGATAAGGAGTCAAATGATTTTTTTCCACGGGCTGGTGGCCTGGAGGTTTTATTCCATTATTGATCAGCAGATAGCCTTAAATGAATTCGTCTCTATGCTCCCATCCAATATATCTCTATTTCATATTTCATTATTGTCAATCAAGTTCACCATAGTTATGGTCCGAAGGTAAATAAAATATGATTTTACCTAAATATCTCAGAAATTTTCAAAGCTTCGGAAGTCACCAGGAAAGCTACGGTTCACTGGACGAAGGGTTACGTTACAAGATCTGGAATTTTTCTCCACTCCCTTCATTGCTCTACTGCTTTGCATTGCATTAGCTTAAACTTTTGGTATACTTATTATTGAGCAAGGCAAGATCAAGATCAAGGGTAGGGCAACAAACTAGCCCGCGCCTCTGGAGTCAAGGAATCAATCCATTCACTTGAACTCAAGGTTATCTTTCCGGTGCGAATCCAATCCAATCTAGGTACCTAGGTAGCGATTGGAAGACCAAAGCGGGGAACACACCTCACCCCTCATTCCTCGGGCTCCCGTCCAGCTTGTTTCCCTGTTCCGAGTATTCCGACCGAGGTGAATGACGAGTGAATATTTTCCGCCCGCTACCTAGGTAATGGAACCTAATTGTACCTCTGTGATGGATATAAAAAGACCAAGTCAATCTTCCGAGTACATGACAACCACCATCCAAGAGTTCATCCAGCGAGTCGCAGGCGGCGAATCGAGTCGAAAGTGGGAATAAAGCTAGGCTTAGCTTTCGTAGCAGATATGACTTACTAACTTTTATGGCTCCTCACTCGTAGTGGAGGAAAGAAATGGGTTGATATGCCTGGAGACTCAAGTGCCATTTCTTGTCGCTGGCGTTTCTTTTTTATTGTTGTTGTCGTTGTCGTTGTTGTTGAACTAAGAATGCAGGTGTAATGAAAAAACGTCGCACTTATTTCATATCTATACGGATGGATTCACTTCTTCTCGCCCTCTCGCCCTCTCGCTCTCTCTCCATTCTTTACTCACAAATCCTCCAGAAAAAGAAAAAGAACTCCTCCACCATCCCGCCCTGCAAAACAATACAATGGATACAATACAATGGATACAAAACAAAACAAAACCAATTCCCCCATCCAATCCATTTACCAAGAAGTTTTCGAGGGAGAAGGTTTAGGATCGTTTCTTCCAGCCGGGAGACTATAGCTAGCTACCTAGGCCCGCTCCTTCCTCTACAAGTTTTTCCACTCTCAACTAACTAACTAACTTAACAGTCTCAACAGTCTCAACAATCTCAACAAATCAAATCAAATCAAATCAAACCAAATCGAGCTCCAGCTCCAGCCATATCATATCATATCATATCATATAATATCATATCACATCACGAATCCACCCAATTCCCCGAACCTTCCTATTCCTATTCCTATTCCTATTCCTATTCCTATTCCTATTCCTATTCCTATTCCTATTCCTATTCCTATTCCTATTCCTATTCCTATTCCTATTCCTATTCCTATTCCTATTCCTATTCCTATTCCTATTTTTATTCCTATTCCTATTCCAATCCGAGTATTCCAGTCCGAGTATTCCAGTCCGAGTATTCCAATCCGAGTATTCCAATCCTCGATATTCCAGTCCGAGTATTCCAATCCGAGATGATTCATTGTGCTGGCTGTTAGATATGGATATCATACCCACCTAGCCCTAACGCTTTACCCGCAACAGTACTCCGTATTTTCGCTTCGCTTCGAGTAGAGTCGGGTATTCGGGATATATATACCTAGGGTAGATTCGGAGATTTTCGTTTACTTTTCTTTACTTTTCTTTACTTTTCTTTACTTTACTTGTTTTGTTTTTCTTGTTTTTGTTTTGTTTTGTTGTTTTTGTTGGGTTTGTTGCGGTTGAATGGGTGGGTGCGTATGGAAGTTTTTATATTCGGATGTTTTTGTTGTTATTTTTCTTTACTTTTATTTTGTTGGGTTTGAAAGGGTGGGTGGGTATGGACGTTTTTGTTGTTACTTTGCTTTGCGCCTTTTCTTTAGTTTTCTTCTATACTCGTTGTTTGAAAGGGTAGTTTTAACTCCCATTTCATCCCATCCCATCCCATCCCATCCCTTCCCTCCCCCAACCTTAAAACTTTCTTCCCGAAATAGTCCTTAACCCCCAACATCTCGATCCCCCTCCCTAGCTTAAAGAGCTGGACTGATTCACCGAACCCCACCATCCTTATCTTTTCCAGTTACTTTCAGCAGACAAGTTGTGGAGAAAGATGCAATTATAATTCCACTCCTCCGTATATATGGCACATGTCACATGGCATATTATGGCTAGGTCAACAACACCTACATTCACCTACATATATAAAAAACTCCTCCCCTCCCCCTCCCTCCCCAAAAAAAGAAAACCCCATCATATACCTAGTACCTCATTTATTATATATTATAATAATTCATCGATTCGATTTATCCTATCCTATCCTATCCTATTCTATTCTATCCTATCCTATCCTATCCTATTCTATTCTATCCTATCCTATCCTATCCTATCCTATCCTATCCTATCCTATCCTATCCTATCCTATCCTATCCTATCCTATCCTATTCTATTTTATCCTATCCTATCCTATCCTATCCTATCCTATCCTATCCTATCCTATCCTATCCTATCCTATCCTATCCTATCCTATCCTATCCTATCCTATCCTATCCTATCCTATCCTATCCTATCCTATCCTATCCTATCCTATCCTATCCTATCCTATCCTATCCTATCCTATCCTATCCTATCCTATCCTATCCTATCCTATCCTATCCTATCCTATCCTATCAAATATCAAATATCAAATATCAAATATCAAATACATAATGTATTCACATGCCCTGCAGAAGGGTGGGTATCGAGTAGGTATCGAGTAGTTCGGTATCTAGTAGTAGTAGTAGTAGTAGTAGTATTATATAGGTATATATAGGTATATATACAAGGTAGGTAAGTAGGTAGGTAAGTAGGTAGGTAGGTAGGTAGAGCACGCTTATGTAGATCAATCCAAAAGCATGCTTTATCATTATGATCATCATTATGATCATGATCATAACCACAACAAACCAACCAAAAAAGATGTCCAAAACCGAGGACGATTCATATATGTTTCTGTACCTATAGGTATGCCTACCCAGCAAACAAACAAATGCGAACAAATGCGCTCAAAAAAAAAATCAAATCAAATCAAATCAACCACCAAAAAATCTCACGAATGATTCGATTCTCCCCTCACGCCGACCCAACTGCCGAGTGGAGGAAAAGAGTTCTTAAAGAG